GTTCCCCATTGCTCACCCAGCAGGCCCCAGCGAGCTCCTCTATCAAAAGCAGACACCTTCACAGTGACAGACAGCCAGAGAGCCACAAACACACACTCAGACTCTGACTCCCTGGTTTCTTTGCCTGTTTGCCTCAATAGCAGCTATTGAAGTGTTGGTTGCAGCGTGTGTGTCTGTGTGCAGCTCTCCCGTAGTGTCGCTCAAAGGTTTCGTGGGAGTGTCTAGATTCTTTGTTGAACCCGCTGCGGTTATATGAGGCCGAATATGAATAAAGACTAAATAATGTCAGCATCAGCATGAATCAATACTAATACAGATGCACAATCACTTGGTCTGGACCTCAGCCCGTGATCAATGGTTTACTCTGAGTTATTGTCTTCATATTAACAAGCGGAGTGCTCCCTGAGGAAGGCGTATGAATGGCTAAATGAGACCACTCCAAACCTCTCAACAGGACCTGGTGTTGTTTTTACACCCTCCTTTGTTTGACTTCAGACACTGCATCGCAAAAGCCTTTTTAGCACAAATTTGGATGCACTGTAGGTGTTTCCAAAACACTCAGGTCCTCATGAAACTCTAATTGCACGCTCTCGGCGATATGAATGTCCCCTCGCATAGATTCAAGTATCGACTCGTGTTCCTCGTGTCAATGTTTTGCCAAATTATAACTTCTTTTTTTTTTCCTTCCCCCACCTGTATCTAAGATTATTCACAAATCAATTCATATTTTTATTGCAGCAGCTGGAGGCTTTCAGATGGACTCCAAATGTAGAAAAGGACGGAAATAAATCAACAAAAGTAGAAGTTTGGAATGAGTTTGTGAGTGAAAGGTGGCACAGTGAATGTCAGGTTGTCTCAGTTTTCTGTGTAGAAAGAGGAACATGATGTCACTCCTCCTGTGTGCGTTTGTTATCTTTAAAAATATCGCTTTTTATCAGAGTCACAACCTGTAAAAACAGAAAGAATCTTCTTTTACATGGTCCTTGACCCAATCATGTGCGATATGTGGTTCTATCAGGACAAGTAACCAAATCTAATCATCAAAATCATTTCAGTGTACATGTCTCGTTTTAAAAATCTGCCAAAAATAAACCAGAACTTGTTAAAAATGAATAAATAAATACAAATTCTGCAGTACTCGGCCCAACTGGGAAGCCTTGACTGACACAACTGTGGCCAACAGTCAGCATAAAAATTTAGAAACTCTAAAAACAAAAAGAATTGAAGCCACAAGCGGCGATGGACGGGTCCTCGCTGTACGCTTGTCGGCCTTCGTGCGTGTCGGGGTGTGGCGCCGATGTGCTCCGGGCTGGACTGTGATTCGGCATGTCGAGTTTCGGGCAGATCGCCGCACATGCTGTGTAGTTATGAGCCACTTCCTGTTTAGTGGCGAGCCGTGTGCCAGATTTTGTAGTTCTAGGTGAAGCATAGCCGTGATGGGACTTGAAATATTGTAGGGGCCGTGTTGCATTTTAGAGCTTGGCACTGACTGGCTTCTTTGTTCGTCCTGACCTGCTCTATATGCAAACCAAATTGCGCAGGTCTACACCAAATGTGCTTTTGACATGAGTCCGTTGAAATTTTCAAGGTGACACTGTGGAGCCATTTTGGCAGTGACATGTCCAGGTCTCTTAATATATAAAATTGTTCACCAGTCCTGGTGTGTGTGGCGATTTTGGTGAGTCTTTTGTGCATGTTTAGGCCCTCTAATTTAAGTTTCATTTTGCGGGAGAAAAATAATGACAATAATGAACCCTAGGGTTTCAATAGGGTCCTTGGACTGGTCGTGCTCGGACCCTAATTATTGGATGTAATGACAACAGTCAATTGATTATCATTAAGAATTAGTATTGGCCTTTAAAAAATCTTATCAGTCTCCTCCCTACTGTTACTGAGCCTTACTGATGTGACGATGAAGCCACAAAGTGTCTAAAACAAACTAAAAGACTACAGTTTTTAGTGACATTTACTAAAATGTGAGGTGATATTATAAATGTGCTTGATTTAGTAACACTTGTGTGCCACTCTGTTGGAAAGATTTACCAAAGCTAAGCTTAAAATCTGGATTTTTTTCATCAAAATCACCTTGGTGTCATTTACAAATTTGACATAAATATACCAATTGCATTGAATAAACACAGTCACTCGGCTGAACTGCAGGCTGTGTTTACTCAAAGCAGACAGAGGAGTATGGCAAGTGATCAGAGATGCTGAGAGATAAAATAAAACATACTGCATCGATGAAATAAATCCAGCATGGCTCAGAAAACAGTACACAATCGTTAGAAAATACATTCAGCACGGTGAAACGTCCTCCTAAAGTTGATGTGCAGACGTGTGGAAGATGCCTGGTTTGTAGAGGTTGTTAAATCTAAGCTGAAAATCGCAATATCTGACCTTTATATTACATATCTCATTTAATGATTAACCGAAAATAAACAGCTTGAATCTATAAATAAATTAAAAAATCCGAGTTCTTTTGACAAAAATTCAGGGACTTCTCGGCTGAACTGCAGGCAGTGTGTACACAGAGGAGACAGATATGGGGACAAAATAAAAATATAATTTAATGTCTTGACAGTATTGGTAACACCTGTGGGTGCTTTTAATCATGTCGTACATGTTTAATCCAGATTTTCTTTCAATTTTTGTAAAATAAATAATTAGAACTGTAACTTCAATTTGTTCTTTTTTTTATTAATTTTGACATTATATGTGTGTCACCCTGTACAAAAGGCGTGTCTGAGTTCTCTCTCCTTCTAGTCGTGGTTGTCGTGTTTCCATAGAGGTGCAGGACTTTACATTGCCGAGAAAAATGAGCCCACAGTGAGGAAAAATCACAACACAGGCAGAAAAACACTGCGACCTTGCTCGGGGCTCAGTGGGTTAAATATCGTGTGTGTGTATGTGCATCTCCCTGTGCATTACTGACTGAGTAATCTCTGTAAATTAGAGATGTTTAGAGAAGTTTGTGGCTGATTTTGGTAAAGCCCCTGTAAAAACTCTCTCTCACGGAAAATCACTTCCCATGACGTGGCACATGTGCCGAACACACACCCCGCCGCGCTCACGCACACCTTTAAGGTGCCGCACCTACCGTCCCTCCTTCACACACATACACTTACTCTGCAGTAAACGTAGCAGCTAAACTGCATTAAGTCTCCGCCGCTGCTTGGCAGAGCGTGAGAAAGCAGCGAGCATCATGGGTAATTGCTATGCTGCACGCAGTATCTACAGGAGCACTGTTTATGAGGTGACCAGGGGGCGGGAGAGGAGGATGAGAGGACACCGAAATATTCCCTCCTGCTTCCTCCAGGAGTTTAGAAGTTTTCCAGACTGTGAACGAACTAATCAACCTGCCTGCGCTTTATCAATAATTACCATCAGCTAGTTTGGCACGAACACTTGATCGGTTGGCGCGGCCGCTGATGAAAATATCTCGGAGAGATCTCTGATTGTGGCATGAGTTTGTGCCTCCAGCGTTTATGTGTTTAGGGGCAATAATTGATTTCTGTGTTGTGCCCCGCAGGGCTTGTCCCACATCTCCAAACCCAACACACACATGCACGCGCACGCACACACAAACACAAACACAGCAAGGCATGCTGCAGTATTAATGAGACATGAATAAGACATGAAGAGAGACCCCCCTCTTACATGCTCACACAGGGTCTCCCCCTCCCCAGCTGCTTCCTGTCTGCAGATTACCCAGCTTTCACTGGGCTCTGGTTAAGTGGGGCCAGGAAGAGATTTAACCCCCTCGGCAGGAGCTCACACGTACACAAGCGTGCACACACATACACAAAGCGTGCGCACACACACTCCCTACCGTCGGCCTACATTAGCTCCCTTATTATGTTATCGGAAAGTATGTGTTTTATTGAGTGATTGACTGCTGACGGAGGTTCGGGTGTTTATTATCTGCCTGAAATAGGATTCGTGTCTGAAATTAATGATTTTATGATCCTCCACGGCTCTTATCTGTTTACTTAGGTCGCCGAAAATGTGTAGAAACGCACCACCTGAGAGGGAAGTGTGCGTATGCATGAGTAAGTTGTGGAAGTTGCATTGATTGTGAAATTCTCTCTATTTCATTTCGAATAACCTTTTAACCTTCTGAACTACCAAACCCAACTGCAGGTTAGAAAGACATGTCATCTTTAAAAAAAAATCACCAAAATGACACCGTTTATCAGAGCCAGAAACTGTGAAAACAGAAAGAATGATTGTATTTTCAACTTACATAAACCACTGTTGATGTTTCGAACCTTAAAATCATATTTTATTAATAACACTTTAGTCTATATGTCTCTCTTTTTTTTTTTTTAAATGCCGAATAATAAACAATTTGCACCAGATTCTGTAAATAAATAAATCCGTGCACCTGCGACCAACAAAATTCAGAGTTCTCGGCTGAACTGCAGGCAGTGTTTGCACAGAGCAGAGAGGAGACAAGTGTGGAAACAAATGAAAGCACATTTTATCAATAGAAATGAGTGAGGCGTGGCTCAAACGTGGCATACAGAGGAGGAAGTTGTCGAGAAGTTGTTAAAGGATACATTCAGCATGGTGAAACGTCTTTGTAGAGTTGAGGTGCAGAGTAGTTGTACATATTGATTCAATTTTTTTAAAAATGTAAAACTAATGATACGTTTATGTCATACTGCACTGAAGGACACTTGTAAGTTTTCTCTACTTGTAGTCATGTTGTTCCCATAGAAGTGCAGGACTTTATATTGCCGTGAAAAATGAGCCCACAGTGAGTGAAAATGTGACAGAAGCAAAAAAAAAAAACAACAACTGCTTGGAGTTCTGGGGTTAAGTAATTATGATGGCGTATAATTAATTGTAACTGTGCCCTGTTGTGGGGCTTAGAGTCAAACGAAAGGAAAGGAAACTGTCTAGACTCGGCTTAATGTCGTCGTATTAAACACTTGATAAGTTGCAGAGTGTACGCTGCTGCAGGATGACTGGTGACCTTCCACGTGTTTTTGTTTCAGGCCTCGGCGACGTCTGGTCCCGGTCCTGGTCCTGGTCCTGGTCCTGCCACTCCGGGCTCTCAGGTTCACGCAGCAGCCGTCAATGGAGACAGAAGCGCTCTCCTCAAACTCATCACAGGTACGTCGTATCTCGCTGTAATGTGTAGTAACGTGTTGCTTTATGGATTTTTTAGAATGAAATTTGGGGCCGTCAACCCGGCCGGGGGTTGAAAAACAACAACTGGCCTTTTGTTTCCACAGAAGACGTCCATTGTTCTTCTCCTAAAGTAAAAGTGCTGACATTATCCAGATGTTTAGCCACGTTTGTATTCAATATCGTATATGAAGTACAGTGCAGTCTTACTCAGGCGTAGATTAGAAGTGTGTGGCAAAAATATATCTACATATGAAGAGTGGTGAATGATTTTAGCAAATGAGACAACACAATCCTCCAGCCCAATGGTATTTCTTTATGGCTCCCAGTTGCTCCAAGTAAACTAATTTATTCAGAAAAGTGGAAGTGGAATTCCTATTAAACCGAACTAGTAAAAGACTGCTGCCTTTTTAAGCCGGTTTATAACATATTCCATTGCAAACCACATACTTGCAAAGTCTGCTGCTACGTAGAACTGAAAATCCAGAACATATTGACCCAAATCTCGGTCCCTATAAACACTTCGGTTTACCTTCATCTGTGTCTTGTTTGCGTGTGTGTGCAGCAGAGCCCTCGCTGAGGGACCGCGAGGACCAGTTCGGCCGGACCCCTTTGATGTACTGTGTGCTGGCCGACCGCCTGGACTGCGCCGAGATCCTGCTGAAGGCCGGAGCCTCGGTCAACAAGACCGACCACAGCCAGCGAACAGCTCTGCACCTCGCTGCGCAGAAAGTAAGAACATCCACAAACAAACACTGGAGCACACACATGTTGGTTATTACCTATGTCAGCCATTTGTACGGTACAGTTCAGAAGCAAGTCCACCCGAGAGAAAAATCACTTAAATATCAAATGATTTAAAATTGTGTCACCTCTCAAAACATACTTAACGTCTAACTTGAACAGTGGAGTGTTTTGTCTTCGAATCAATCACAAATGCTTTAGAAAGGCCATACTGAAAATTCAGGCCCAGGTTCAAACTCAAATGATTTCCGATCAGCCTAATTGTGTGAACATGGTTCTAAAACGAGCAGTGAGCAGTAGAACTATCTCAGTTTGGGACCAATGAGTTGTGTCTATCTGTATGTCATGGCTCCACGTCGAAAAGAATTGCCAGATGAATTGAAAAATCTGATTGTGAGGCAAGATGGTAAAGGACACAGGACGATCAGCAGTAATCAGGAAGTTTAAAAGAAGCCACAGTAGCACTACCTTCAAAATTTCACAAATCCTGTTTTAAGGGAAGCTCAGGTCTCATTAAGAGGAGCAAAGATAATTGAATACAAAGTTTTTAAAAGCTACAAAATTAAATTTCATCATTTCTGGTAACAAGCGGATTTGAATGACAGAAGACGATATAATCCCGTGCTTCAACTTTTATCCATCTATACTTAAAATTATAATATTATTGTTAAACAGTTAAACAATACGGTAAATAAAGTAGCTTTTCTCTTTTTCAAATGATTGTAAATCGAACCTCTTTGTGTTTTTTTTTTACTGTTAAACATAATTTAAAGACATCTCCTTTGGCTCTGGTAACTTGTGAAACACACCTGTCATTATTTATAGAGACATTTACACCTAATCATCAGTAAATCACATCCTTCAACAACTAAATCAACTACAACTAACCAACATGACTTGCACATCAGTCACAATCTTCTGATGTCTTTTGACCTCATTATCTAATTTAGGATTTTACACTACAGAGCATTTCTAACGAGATGATACGCTTTAATAAATCAGTCCATTCATGTTTCACAGAAATGTTTCAGAACATTGCTTTACTGGATTTATTTGATGTCAAATCCTGAACAATGATCAACATTTTCCAGGAAATATCATCGTTATTCAACCGTCTGTCTGGTCTGAACTTCATAGTTCTGATGTCTTATGTCTGAACTCTGCAGCTTTTGGTTTAAAACGGCTGCTTTTGTCTTTGACTTTAGCAGAATTTTACACCAATAGTTCTTTTCTACAATTAAAATGTTGGTGAGAAGTAGTAACATATAGCATACAACAGAAGTGAGTAAACTCCTATGTATTGTGATTTAAATGAGCCGATTAAAACGAGCTATGAACAGCAGAACTTTCTCAGTTTTGCATCATGGCTCCACATGCAAAAGAACTGCCAGAGGAACTTAAAACAATCTGATGGTGAGACTTCACAAACTGGGGAAGCATACAGGAAGATCCGAGAAGAACGAAAAACTAGTGAAGCACAGTGTCAGTGGTAATCAGGAGGTCTAGAAGGAGCCACAGTAGCTCTAATCAGGGCTGCAGTGGTCGTCCTCCTAAAATAACACCACAGACAGTGAACTCCTTGGTACAGGACTTATCAATGGAAATTAGAGTTCCTGTGACAAAAGAGAAGGACCGTTCACAATATCAGCCTCTACGGGCAGTGTTCAATTAAAAAGTCCTGGTTTTTGGTACAAAACTGTCAGATTAAACTGAAGTCAGTAATATGAAAGTTAACGAATGTTGGGAAACATTCTTTGGTCAGATGAAGATAAATGCGTTGGGCTCAGATGGAGTCCAGATGTTTGGTGTGAACCTGACCAGGACCACCACAGTGGATGCATCGTCCTGACAGTGAAGCACGGAGGTGGCAGTATCATGATATGAGGCTACATGAGTGTAAAAGGTGTTGATGACATTTATAGATGAATGTCTGAGAATAAACCAGAATACTGGCTGATAAGACGACTCCCAGTCCACAGAAGCTGGAAGAAGAGGAATATTCCAACAAGAAACCATCCAAAGAACAAAATCACACAAGAGTTTTTACAGAAGAATAAACTGAAAACTATGACCTGACCAGAATGTTACCTGACTTGAATGCAAAAAGAACACATTTGGAGATAAAGGTAGAGCAACACAACCCCTCCAGCAAAGAGCAGCTAATAAAAAAAAATTGCCTGTGAAGAATGAAGAGTAAAAAAATTTGGTATCCTCCAGACCAAGGTCATCAAAAATGTAGTTAGACATTCAACATGCTGTGAAAAATGACAGATTTAAATCTTAGCAATGACTTTTGTCGCATTAAGTTCCTGCTGTGTGGCCTGCATTAATAATATAATACATCTAAACTGTTACTTTTTAATTTTACATAAGAACAAATACTGTTCAACTTAAAGGTAATACAATTATTGAGAGGTAATGCAATTTTGAATAATCTGACATTTAGGTGATATTGCAGATGGGGTGTACTCACTTCTGTTTTTACACTGGATGTCATAAAGTTGACCAAATTAATTCACAGGAATTGATAAGGGGACAGATTTATAGAGGTGGAAGGAATATGAAGCAGGAGAAATTTTGACAGTCCACTGGCTTCAGTGGGAGGCCAGTGCCCCCTAGTGGCTGTAGTTACGGCCTTAAGGCTTATGGAGGTGATATCAATTGATTTATAATCTTTACACATGAGCGTATGCAAACTCTTACACATGAGGAATCTTTCTGCAGGGAATTTGTCTGGTTTTACAACTTAAATCTGTGTTCAGTCCAAGACTTAGGGACAATCAGGATAAACTCCAGAGGGACGTGGCACTAATGGTGTCTTTTTACATCTCAGTTATTTAGCCGTGTCGTCTTCTTTTATGGGAGTGTACTGATGCAGGATCATCATATCGCTGAAGAGAGAGGGGAGGTAATAGGTTATTGGGATCTGTCTCGTGGATAGGTGTGTGTG